AATTTAGCCCGCAATCGCCGCTTTAAAGCCTTTCGGAACCGAATGAGATTGCTTCGGCGCGAACAGATGTTAGCGGATCGGACATAGAGAAGCGGAATTGTGAAATTCGTCGAGCTGAGGAACGATCACTTGTCAAGCGAACGGGAGCGCCAGCTTACTTCTCACGGTCTCCCGCAGCGTATTGCTTCGAAATCAAGTGTAACTGGCAGCGAGCTTGTACATACACGTATCGGATGGCTTACGTATAGTCGGGCGAAGTCGCTCGTCGCTATTCGAGCGCGAATCAGAATCCTGTCTTCGTGCCGTCGCTGCATTAAATTTCCCCTTGATACGCTTGACAACGACCGAGTCGCTCGCTGCGAGATTCCGTAATGCCCGTTTTGTAGGAAGTCGTACGTAAAGATGATCGATGTCGAGGGTAAAGACACGAGGGATGTTCGGGGCGATGCCTGAGAAACATTATTGTTCGCTTCGGGAAAGCACTATCGACTTACGCTGCCGTAGAAGATGTAAAATACGTCGACTGCTTAGCGGGATGCCGTGCAAACATACTTGTAATATAATGAATGAGTATAAAACGTCGAAGAATAATCGGCTAGTTTAAATCCGAGAGAGAAAAATGATTCGAATTTGAAAGAACAATTGACAGCACTTTTATCGGCTCTCCGCAGTTGAAACTCGTTAGTTATTCACGGATATTATTAATCGAATTTGATACGGAATCATCTTGCGAATCAGCTGTCAGGAGGAGATGGAAATATCGCGTTTTATGCGACGCTGGGTAAGCGAATCAAATCGCGAACTTTTAATTTCCGCCCGTCGTCGACACAGCGGCCCCGATAGTAATAGCACGGAAACAATGCGACACGAGAGGGCGAAGATCTCATCGCGGAAATGCGAACTCCCGGCCTCCTTAAAGCTGACGCTCGCGAATCACCGGAATGAAGCAATGGGGAATTTATAAATCAACACGTACGTGTGTAATGTTACACGGTGGCCAAATATTTTGCACTTGAGCGGAACGAGCGATGACAGAGTGATTGAAGCGCGCCATAAACTTGATTAATTATATGGATTTTATCAATGCGGCAGTTCACGCGTCCGACGTACGTGTGTACGAGCGCACATAAATTGGAACACACGAGGCCACCTTGGGTGTTTGCAAGGCTCGAATATTCAACCAGGACGATTCGTATTCCGGCGAAATCACGCAGGTGGAGAGCCATGGAGCACGTCTCGTATCGAGACTCCAAGTTTCTTTCTTGCCTCTTTGCATGTATACGCAAACGTTTTGCATGTGTATTGCATAATATATATATGATATCTATCACAATTATCTATATACATATATACATATATCTGTGCTAACCAACTGCGTGCATGGCAAATGGAATGGACAATAAGCGTGGCGAACCGCGACGGTGGTGTGATAAGCGGTGGACCGACTGCTATTGATTATCGAAATTTATAGTCACCACGACGCAACAAATATTTGCAATCTTGCTGGTGCAGGCGCACCGGGGGTCTCAACCCTGCCTGCAGATAGACATTTACATAAGAGCGCGAGTTCGCACGGCACGCCGTGTATATATTGCCCGTGTAACTCGCCAAGTCTCGCGGAACAATCGTTCGAATACAGCAATCTTTCTACAAGAGTTTGTTTGTATAATAAAAATCTATGAAGGAAGATCATTACAAGATTCGCGAGAGATATACGTAAATGTGTGCTATGTAAGGCGATCGCCGTTGTGCCAACGATCTCGTGGCGCGCGCGCGAGAGAGAGAGAGAGAGACGTGTACGCGCGCAAAAATACTGTCCTATCATGCGCGCGCGCGGCTACTCGCAGTGGACGGTCGTCGGCATCACGTTGACCCGTGTGTATCGTATAACTCAGCGAAAGCTCATATTTTCCTCGAGATCATCCGACCATCCGAGGAAATTGAACCGTTCCAGGGGTATATATTTAACAAGGCAGCTCTTCGCAAACAGCCGGCCGGATCGATGTACGTTACGGTGTGTCTCGCGCGCACGATTTCTTTTACCTTTTCTCTCGCTCCCTCCCTTTCGTGCCCGCTCTCGATCTCGGAATCGTCCGACTTCCGTTCGGTTACGCGCGAATAAGAAGCGTTCAACGCCATCGTCCAGAGGGGGGTATGACAAGCCCTGGCGCAACTTCCGTCGAACTTCGCTGCCGAGAGAACGAGGGTTCCGCAGATAAGTCCGCTGTGGATGGACCGGGTGGTCTCCATGGAATTGAGGAGAAATTCACCTCATGACTGGTACGCTCTCTCTCTCTCTCTCTCTCTCACTCGGTGTACATACCGCGATACGAATATTTCATGAGAGTATTTCGGATCGAGACGAGGGTCCACGTGTCACGTCAGACACGGCGATTGCCTGCCACAACGAGATCGTGGATTCGTCGATCTTCAAAAATGTTTGTTTGCCAAAGACGTATTTTTTTGGAATGTGTTTTTCCCGGCGAGAAAGAACATTTCCTAGCTGCACACGTGCCGGAAAAAAAAAACCAATTGAGAATGCTTTTCTGCATCTTGCATTTTTGAGAGTTTCATAAATATACACGATTTTAGAAAATGACGTAAAACATTCCGCATATAAGTGTAAACGAGTCAATGAGCCTGCATATAAGTCAATTATCAAGATAATTATTCATCGCGCGATTAAAACATTTATTCGTTAATGTATTTTAAGTACTGCAAAACATTTTGGTTTCGTAAAAAAAAATTGCAAATTTAATGATGAATAGTTCTGCAGTTTCTGCTTGTTGAAATAATTTGAGGATTTGCTTTGTACATTTGCTATGCGCTGATAATACCTTTCACGCGTGAAACGGGATTTATTAATCACAAAGTAAACGAGATTTGCATAAACGAGATTCTTTAATTCCATTTTGTTAGCTTTGCAACCCATTTCGCGCCGCGTTGCAGAAGTTCGCAGGTCGAAAATAAAAGTATATGAAAGGCAATATTTTTAAATGAGACGCGCGAAATCCACGACATATCGCGCATTCCATCGGAAACAACTATTCCAATAACAGGAACAAAATTCTTTGTTTCGCGGAAACGATGAAAAATTCCTCTTGTTAATTATTCCAGAAAATTCTTATAAATTAATGAGCTACAAGAGCGACAGCGCAATCCATATAATTTTCAAGCGTAAATCACTCTTTTATATTAAACGTGATTGATCTATTTTTCCGTGCTTTATCTCATTGCAATGATGAGTCCATTTAAACAGCTTTCTATCTTTTATTCTTAATTGACTGGCTAATATAAAAACCTATTAAACAAACATTGTATTTTCTTCTAAATAACAAAAATAAAATGCTGGTTAAACATCATTTGTATCAAAAGTCATGCGCGCGTTGTCGGGCTTTAGATAAAGGTAACAAGAATTGTCTGATTTTTCTGATACCAATTCCGTGAAATTGGAGAAAGAGAAAAGCGAGATCAGGAAGCACGTCACGGCGGGGAAAAGCGGAAAATAGTAATTATTTCGTCGGGAGGGCACGCCTTCTCCGCGACGAAGGGGTTGCGTTGTGATATTACGCGGAACCGAAGGGAAGCTTTACGCAATAGATGCATGAAATTGAATCGCTTGCTTCCTCCACGTAATCGTGTTGCAGCTTTCTGCGTTTTCCGGTGCATTTTTGCTCGCGCTTCACAGTTTACAACTTAATCCCCGTTTCGCCATAACAAAAGTCAATTCCGCTGCTCCGTGGACTCGCCGCTTCTTTTTTTAATCTCGTTTATGCGATATATCTCGTCGCGCGATCCACGTGACGTTTCATAACTTCTCTCTTGCAAAATTTTCCTGCGAAATGCCCATATTTTAATGCAGAAAACAAAGCGGGAAAGTAAGATTAAGATCTAACTGTTTCGCAAACTTTCTTGACGTTCAAAATACGATATTTTTGCCTGCTCTTCATGTTTACTTCAACATATCTCTTGCCGTTTTATTCTATTGTTAACGTTAAACACCGAGATTTAGGCTTTTGTCTTACAATTAGCAGGTTCTTATTATTACGCAAATATCCCCTCAATGTATTGATTTTTGCGCCGAAAAAAAAAAAAAAAAAAATAGTCGGACTCGAAAGGATTAATCAAAGAAAGAAGTTTTGGAAGTTCTCGGGCTTATTGAAGCGAGTGAGGTAATAAATCAGCTTGGTGCTAATAGTAAAAAGCAAAGGGACGTGAGAAACTAAGAGATCGCCGAGGACCTTTCGTGCAGCAAGAAAAGCAACCGGCAGCGACGCTAAATCAAGTTTGCCACTCAACGGTATAAATAATGCAGTACATTCGACAGGTTCGTAGTTGGACAACAATGGGGGCCAGGCATCTGGGAAAACTTCTTCGGCAGTGCGGAGCACCGGAAAGTGCTTAGACATCATTATCCCCCGAGTTCTCTGGATACGATCGTGTCTCGTAAATTTTCAGCATTAAATGTAACATGAAAACGGTTTATCGGTGACGGTGGATATTGAAAAATTAATAATTAAGTTTTAAAATTTAATAAAAATTCAACCCTTCAATATTTAATTCAAGCATATTTGAAGCGCTTATCGATTCAGATAAAGTAGAGGCAGTTGTCACGATTTTTGCGAGCGATCTGTCGGGCCGAGCCGAGTCGAGTCGAGGGAGAAGCGCAAATGAGGTCGCACGTTTTGTCGTACGCGATCGCGCGGTAACTGCTTTGAAACAGGAATCGTAACGCACGAATCCGATGTAACGTAAGTAATACGATTCCCGATAGAATCGTTGCGAGCTTAATGCCTGCATTCTCTACGCGATAACGGGGCTAATTGGCCGCGTTCTATGCGCGCGTTACGTTTGAAGGAGGCGCGCATATTCAACTTATTGTTAGATAGAGTGCAGACACACACAAAGGGGGTATATGTTATTCAAGTATCCCGCCTCTCTGGCTGGATACCGACGTAATAAATAACGCGGATAGCATTTAACGAGAATCACTTAATTACCTTCTCGATGCTCTGCTCGCGCTCGGTCGATGTCCGCAGATAAAGCAGTTAACGAATTCAGCGTTTTTCGAGCTCCAGCAGTTTCGCCGATAGTAGTTTGTTAAACTGTGCAGCCGACCGGTCTGAAACAAGCAACACGATTAGGCATGTAGGAAGAACCCCAGCAACAAAAAAATATTTATACGCTTGTGGATTATCGCAAGGAAACAGTACACACATGACGTGTGATAATTAATAAGCGCGGCCATTATCGCAGTGCAGTTTCCGAGCTTATATTAAAAACTTTGGAGGACGAAAAAATAAAGATGACAACTTTATGCGAGGAGCTAGTAAAAATTATACTTCTTTGAGAAATGTTTACCAAGCACCTTTCATAAAAACATTAAGAAATATGAGGAATATTAAGAAAATATTAAGAAGTAGCCGAGTTTTCTCGTTACGCAAGAAAATGAAATGCGTACTTCGAAATATATTAAAAACGTACATCGCAAATTGTGAATACAATGTTGTCGCGTTTCGCACATACGACGCGCAACTAAAACAAAAGGATTCCACCCGGTAGAATCTGCATTTCTCAAGAATTTCACTCCCCGGAGAAATTTCTAAATCGTTTACCGACGTATGTACATCGATCCGCACACAGCGGCCGCCGCCGCCGCCGCAATTTTCGCATCAACAACGGCTGCTCCTTGTTCGCTTTCGCTATCTATTGGAAAACCAGATCCGGTTAACGTTGTCGATAATGTCGCGCGAAACGGAAGCGCCTCTCTCCAATAATTTAGAAGCGCAAAGAGCCGTCGGTGGGAAACTTCTGTATAGCCTCGTTCCAGACGTACCGCCGGCTTTTTCGCTATCTTATCACGGTCTTACGGTTTCCACCGACCAATCAGCCTCGTTATCGTTAAAAAAGGGGAATCAGGCGTGGCTTGTAAAAGCCCACTCGGCGCGATAACAGAATTTACTATCAGCAAATCGGGGAAAGTCGCTACTCAACAAGTTGGTCTCGCCGAGAATAGGATAGGTAGAAATGTAGAGGGTGGCTTTTGCTCGGCGAGAGGACGCGAAGTGCGGAAGCCGGGCGACCGAAGGGAGAGCTCGAGGTGAAGGGGAGGCCTGCGGCGAAAAAGATGATATTTTATCGAACGTCGCGGGTATTATTTGGTTTTACGTATATTTTACCAGTGAACGCCGCGCGCGCCCACCGCCGTTATCTGCGTCCGTACAAAATGTTTCTCCATATTTTATTTCCCTTCCCTTTTCGCCTCTTGATCTTCGTGAAATTTATCCGCCAGAGAATTTGCACAATCGACGGCTCTCTGGACGTGCGTCGTTAGCTGATCTCGCTGTCGACGCTTTCACATTTTTTTTTTAGAGAAGTGGAATGCCAAGGTAAGAGAAAATATTAGCGCCAATTATTGCGAAAGTCTGCTACCAATTATTCTGAATTATTTGAAAACGCGGCGAAAATTAATTGAGATACTTGAAATGAAAATTTTTTATTACCGTAAAGCGCTGACATGCAGTCTCTCTATAATTAACTAATTGCATTGCGAGATGAAGTTCAAAAATGTTATTATTATTGTAGGCAATTAAGTTAATATTCCATTTTCATAAGAAATATTACTGCAGGAAGAAAAGAAGAACGAGAGTCCTCAGATGACAAACATTAATAATTTATAAGACACTTTCTTGAGATACAAAAAGTGCGCGCGCTTTAACTCTTTGGCCGTGGAAACGCGGAAATATCGCAATAATAGTTAGAGCAAATACGGCTAAATTTAAACGTTTACGCTGGCAGTAGTTTCCATTCCGTTTGCATCGCGGAGAGTCGCTCGTGAATAGAAAAAAGGCAAGCGCGACTCTGACGAACCTCCTCTGCGCGTTACAAGTGTTATAAAGTGCTTAAATAAAATTAATGTCCCGCGATTGTTGACTAAATGGAAACTCTGAACCAGCACGCAAATTCTCTCGTAAGTGAGGACAGAAATTCTGAAGTAATTTGGCCGGAGTAATCGAGCGCATCATAGATATTTCAAACAGATAAGCAAACAAAATCCAGCGATTCGATGAAAGCGCAAATATTTAAACAAAAAATATATCCGCTTTTCAGAATTGTAATTTAAAATTTAATTATCAAATTAACTTCGTATGAAATAAATCATGTAATGATTATCAATCGCTGAAATACTTTTATATTTTTATCTCGGGATTTTATCCCGAGACTTTTTCTAGCCTTCGTGATTGTTACAAGCACATTTTATGCAGACCGCTGTGTTTGGGGGTAATCCCGGATAATTTCTGTTTCGAGAAAACCCACGTCCGCTCTGTAAAAGCTCGCTGAGAGCTGGGCGTATATCGCATCGGTTTGTAGCTCGTTGCCGTGCTATTCCAGTGCGTGGCGGCGTTTCAGCCCGTGCCAAGCCGAATTCCTCAGCCCGTGATTCTTTGTAACTCCAATTTCTCGTTCACGAATTTTCGCGATGCGTGTTCGTTCGCGAATTCTACTCCTGAAATAACATCGAGCAAGTAGTGAAGTTCTCTTTCTTAAAAAAAAGAAAAAAGAGCCAAAGCGTAAAAAATATACATTCTTTCGAATGATGAATATTACATCAGTAAAAAATAACATTTTTAAAGTAACGTTTTTGGAAAAATATGTAAAATACTACGTTGCGCGAAGAGATAAAAGTATATGTATATTATTAAAAAGTAAATTTGGACGATGAAGCTGGTTTAAGTATTAATTAAAATCATATTACTTCAAATTGTATTTAAAAATTTGATTTTAATATCCGAATTAAATGGAGAGATTTTTCAACTCATGCATATTCACGAACCGATTCTTTACTCGTCAATATTAGAACGACGCAGTTTTCCTACCGGGGGCAAACTGTCGATTTTGAGCCGCCGTCGGTATTGGCCGAGAGCTTTGAAAGGTAGAAGGTAGTTCTCATGAGGTACAAGTTATCTCGGTTGATTGGGTGCACAAGGTGAATATACACAGGAGCGGTTATAATGCTTCGTTCATTTCTCGTCAGGTACGGATATATCAAAGCGAGGGGATTACGTGAATGCAAAACCAACCTTGCTCCGAATTGATTTTAGTAATATTTCGATGGAATTGTCAATATTCTGCTTGCCATACAATTTTCCAGTTTAAAAATGATATTCAGCAAAAATATATAAAACGCTAAAAATAGCGCGCAGCTAAAACCCTTAACCCGTATAATTGATCAATTTCGAAAGGAGGGCAAATAGAAGAATGAAAATCGTTCACGTCGGGCAAATAATTCGCGCTGGCTCGCAGCATCTTTGACGCGATTTTTAATTATAGACGTCGCACAAGTGCATTTTACTAACACAAATGTGTTTACCAACTGTTATTTTCGCTATTGTTGGATTGGCGAAAAACGCGCAAGTCGTCGAACAAATGTTAAAATAAGTCGAGCGCGCGGTCGCGCAGAGAAACGTCACTTCCAGGCAGAAGCGACATAAAACGCGCGCACCACGCCCGCGACGTTTGTATATTTTTCATTCGTCGAATATGTACATAACAATCGGAATGTACACGCTCGCGGATCCGCTGCGTCGACTAAATAACGCCGGTTCGTTACGTCGCTCGTCACCGAAAGAAGCGCGGCGCAAACAGAAGCGGCGACGGTGACGCTTAGCGTTTTAAAAGTTAAATCGGGTCCACCGCGCCCGCTGCTCGCTGCCACCCGATCCGGCGGCGTTCCGGCGCGGCGCGGCGCGGCGCGGCGTAACGCGGCCAAACGACCGCGTAGAATTCAATATCTGGCCGAGCCAAACACGCGGCTCGAATTGAACGAAACGCCGCGCGTCGTTTTTCGATGCATTGCAAATGCGGCCATGAATCTGTTAAACTATCGGTAGACGCGGCGGGTGGCTGCGGCGGGATACAGGATACAGCGCTGCCGACGTGTCCACCGAGGCGTCCCTGGGGTGGATGCGTGTAGACCGGAAAAAAAAAGGGACGACGCTCTCCCTCCCTTCGTTTCCCGACCTGGTCGTGGCCGTCGCTTGCTCAGTTATACACCGCCTGGTAAATAAACAAGCGCGAGGCGAGCACAGCGCTGCGATTAAAATCGTACACCGTAGGGCGAGAACGTTTCGCGCGTCAGCCTCGCGGAATCGTTAGTAGGGTCGAAAATCGCTCGGTGAGCAAGACGTCGGATGTCTGACGAGGGCAAAACGCGGAAGCAGTGAAGAGAGAAAAAAAGTACACAATACTTTGCGCCGGGACGCTCGTTTGCGCGTCCGTCGGACGGGAGTTTAATTTTTGGAGATTTGAATTTTTCACACTGCGGATGTGACTCTGCGCGAAACACAAAATGACCGCTTTTCTTTTCTTTTGTAAATTCATGACTGAAAAATACGTTCCTCTAATTCCTTCTTTTATGCTTTTAGCGTCGGACAATTCTTACCCCGCGCTTTGCAGGGGAGGAACAAACGTCGCGGGACAATTAAATCTTGACGACGTGGGAAAGGCCACTTTCGCGAAATTCCGTGTGCATCTCCAGCCAATGCTGTTTCGCCCACATCCGCGAAATACGGCCTCCACTTCGGGATGCACGAAACTGAGGGGGCGGCGCGGGCCAAGTATCGCACTTTTATGGGCGCTCCCGGGCCAAGTCGAGCCACGTTAATTGCTTTCGAAATTACGGTGGGCGCCGCGCTGCAGCGGCTGTGCGGTTGTTTGAAGTCTGCGCTCGCTGATCTTAGCCGTGGGGATACGTGCCCTCGGCTTTGAATAGCACACAGGTCGTGAATTAAACGGCGGGAATTTATATCCGCGTTCGGCAACAATCGCTCTTCGCTGAAGGAATTGTTCGCGGATTTAATTATTTCGCTAGTCGCGCAAGTCGTAACAATAATAAGCATTTGCGAACGTATCGATTTGGTAAATGGAAAATGGTATTTTGAGACTTGGTGTTTTACTGCTACACGCGAAACGAACTATTTAATACTCCCTTTTCTACCTAAATTAATAATTAATAATTTGACGCTGATAACAGTAAGATAATAATAATTTAACAGTTTTCGCCGAGTTATTTCACGTGACAAAACATTTGCCAAAAACAGCAATGTTTAACACGATTAGAAT